TTCAAAATTCTGCAACTTGGGAGATTGCAACCTGGTTTATTGTTTTGGATTATCCCTGAATTCTGAGTTTTGAGTCCCGAGTTGTTGTCTTGTTGGTGGCACACCAACTTTTTAGCTAGTGTGCCAGCAGCCTTCTCTAGTCTGGTGCTGTGAGGGAAGATTAGTGAAAGTGTCTTTGACAATTGATGCATTCTTTGGCGAATTCTGGGCAGGTCACCCCCCAGGTATAACGTGTAAGTAAGTATGCACTTATGCGACCGGAGTGTCACCCCCTGTAATCACCGTACATCACGTTAAAAATCCACTGCATCATCATATCATCGGTCAAACCAAGTCCGATTAGCCTTTTGTACCACGAGGAAGACATCAGAATGACTGTAAAGTGTCCAATGTAGCGTGCGTGCTTCAACGCCTGCCGATTTCCGATAATCAAGCATCGCATACATGAACCGTTTCTTCGGTGACAGTTGTGCTGCCTCGACATCTTCTTGTAATTCTATATTTATATTAATATTAATATTACTGATTACACAAGCAAAAATATAAATCATTTATTTGTTTTCATCTTGATAAGGATCTTATTATTACCCAGCAAGTTCTGCTCCACATTTCGATTCCAATTTAAATATTTATAAACTAAAAAAGACATTATAATAAAAAATAGTACCTCCGTTATTAACACTTCTTTAGGAGACTCACATTTTGTCATCTTTGAAAAAAAAAATAATATCTGAAAACAAATCTTTGTACAACACCAAGTGCCAACAATAATAATACGCAGTAAATCTCGATTTAGCGGACCTCGATTTAGCGGATACTAATACTAATTAAAAATCTCGGTTTTACGGATAAAGTTCAAAGAACGGTTCCATAATAAAAACCTTCTCGTTATAGTAATAGCGGATATTTCGGTTTAACGGATTTTTCCCTAATTGCACAAACTATCTACTAAATCGAGATTCACTGTGTAGTTTAGTTGTTAATCGCGTTTGTTGATTAAATAACTCTTTTACAAAAAATGTCAGAATCAAATAAAAAAAGAAAACAAAAATCAAGTAGGTGTTTATAAGAATGGTGGTAGTGGTGGTTATCTATCACTACTCGTCGTCATTCTAGTTGTATTATTAAGAAATGCCACATTTCTATTTTCATGTGATCTACAGGATTTTACTTTCAAAAAATGTCATTCTATATTAAAAAAAGAGGACAAATTTTTTTTTTATATATATATAAATATCCTACACCACGTCTTTTGTTTCAAGAAAAAAGATGGAAGGATGGGAATATATATCGGCAAGTCAATGACGTTTTGGAGGATGTGGGACTTGATGAAAATTTTTTGGATGGAAAAAAGTATTTGTATGAAGAGGTCGAAATAGAAAAAGGTGAGTCCCTTCAATGGGTATTAAAGTAAATTGAGAAAGGAAAATGTTCATTTAGCAACATACGTCTTTTGAATGATAACTAGAAACTTTGTTATATCCATGCTTTCAATGAGAAAAAAATCATCGTGGATATATTTAAGGGAACATTTGGTATACTTGTTTGTGACATTGACTAACTTGTGTTTTGATCCATTGCATTATTCTTTTTTACAGATATGTCTCCTATCTTTTATTCTTCTATTAACCAAGGTAAATTAGACTTATTGTAATAATATGGATCTTTAGGAGGTGAAGGGGATTAATATATTATTTATGCATTCTTCCTTTTCTCTGCTATATTGTTCTTCCGGTGTCTAATCACTAGCTCAAGATATGGCATTTGGTGAGTTTTATTTTACACATAAAGGTGTGACAGAATCTGGGATGAATTTTTTAATCGTGACTTGTGATAAAAAAAAGATACTGGTTATTTTGGAATATTTCTTTCTGTTTGTTCACTAACAACCTTCTGATGTTCCTTGATATTATAGAAGATGTTTCTAGAAAAAGTTATCTTTCGTCTCTTGAATATGAACTAGAAAGATTAAAGACTCTAGATAAAGGAAAAGCACTTGAAGATGTAAAATATGCCAATGTGCCAGAATCTAGCATAAACAATAGTAAAGTCCAACATACCAATCCTCTTTTAGAGTTATTGATGCCATGCACTCCTTATCAACTTTATACAAGTGTCACGCCAGAACAACAATCAGTTCTGAAATTTATTTTGACGATTTTACTCAATTTATTTTATACATTTATTATAATTTTTTCTATATTTTTTATTATTGATGTTTTATGTTATATATATATATTATTTATATTAACATTAGTTGTTAGATATGTTTGGCTGTTTAAATATAAAACTACAACTCAAAATCAAATCTAACCATCCATATTACTTTTCCTTCCTTTGCTTTTGGTAGGTCAATCATATCAACAAAAGACATTAACATCGATTTGTTAAAATCGTCTTTAGTCTTAATCGATTAATAAGAGTTGTCCTTGGTCGATAAAATCATATTTAGTCTACAAAGTGTATTTAGTTAACAAAATCGTTTTATAATCAATCAAAATGTATATAACAATTTGAATTCATGTACTTTAAAAATAACTTTTTCAAAAACTTTTTCTTGAATAAAAGAAAACAATAAGCTTTGGCTTGAAGACAAGTTTTGAATTGATAATCCTATTCTCTGGTAAATGCTTATTTGGTCTATTTATTCTATTATTACCCATAATTAGTAGAGTTGACATCGCAGACATTGTCCGTGTCAACTTACAACGGTTGGATATTGGACAATGTCCACCATGTCCTGCCTGATAATTGGTGGCATAAGAGTGTCTCGAATATATTATTTAATTCATGATACGTGATAGAAGTGGATAAAATTCTGAGTAAATTGTGGGGGATCATCACTATCAAATGGTGCAAAAAATCTCAACCATTATTTTGGATCACGAATTAATAGCTTTTATATTTCCCTTCAAAAAAAACCAAAATTATTTTTAAAATATTTACAAACCTTGCTATTTTTTTCATATAAAAGACTTTTCCAGCATCGTTTATTATATGATAATTTTCATATTTTGCAATAAATAATTAAGGTATGCTTGTTACTTTATTATTGATATTGTGCAAGGAATTCTAAGGAATATTTTGATCATTTCTATACCAAGTTTCTCTTTTCTTTCATGCTTCTTTGATATTATTATTTTTTTTTTGAGCCTGGATCTATGCCAATAAACAGGTCCTTTTTGGCAATTGTTATTAAAAAAAGATATTGATACTCAATATATATTGGTAGAGGAATACATTAATATGTGAAAGTTAGCTCTAAAGATTTAAATTTTGAATTGGAAATTTTTTTTGTAAGATACACCTCGTTTTTTTATCTTTCTTTGCACGTGGCCATCAAAGTCATATGATAGCAGAAATTATTGTCACGTAGAATTCAAAGGTCATAATCAATTTAAAAAGTAAATGGAAACATCAGGAACAAGTAAAAAGGCAAATGATTAATGATTTAATTCATTATTATTATCTATTAATTTTTCCGAAGCTTTAAAATTTATCGGAGTGTAATTTACATTAAACTATTGCAACATTATTATTATCACCATCACTATTATTATTTTTGCTAATATTATTACCATTACTGCTACTAGCTTCATTTCTATTATTTAATAATCCCATTTCAATTACTCTATTATCATTCTTATTATTATCATTGCTATCATTAATAGTGTTACTATTAAGGACATTATTGTTATTGTTATTATTATTATTATTATTATTATTATTATTATTATTATTATTATTATTATTATTATTATTAT